TGTGCCTTACAGACCCTAGGGTCTTAGAGATCTCTGCTGGAGCCTCCACATCCGGCCGGCAGACAGAGGAGCTGATGGAGGTAGAGCAAGAAAGCTCTCGAGAGCCCCAAGATCCACTTCCCTTTCCCCCCCCTCTCTTCCACTGCCGCCCACTTCCTCTGTCCCTTCTGTCCCTTCAAGCCCCACAATGGCTTTTCACCAGCCAATGACAATGTCCGGCACAGAAAGGTTGAGGACAGAGTCTTGGGGTGGCATATGAAGGGGAAGTCTTCCTTTTCTGCTCCAGCCCTGAAGGACTATCCTTGGCTCTGTCGCTCCACCTTCAGCAACTGTCCCCTTGAAAAGGGACAACTCACTGCCATCTTGGACCTTTCATCTTGGCTGCAGAAGACAGATCACAAAGGGTAGTTACATACATAATTATATAGGATGCAAGACAGGAAGAAACACTCTGGGGAGTCACCTAGTACATCAGGGAAAGGCAGGTCAGGGGCGGCAGCAAATGTAATATTTATATTTTCATGAATTAAAACACTTATCACAATAGTTGCTAACACTGGGGTGGCACGAAGTGTGTGCCAGGAACATCCTAAATGTACTCTATTAACTCAGTGAATTCCCGAACGATAATGTGTTAGCCGGAAAGCGGAGAGGGCCGAAGCCCTTGAAGATGAGCCTGGAATGAAGGAACTCGGGGAAACCAACGGCCTTCTGCACCTGCGGAGTATTCCCAGTACCTGTCACTCGTTCTCTGCTACCCTCATCAGTGTCTTCATTCGAGCGTGAACTTGTGAGGTCATGTGTGAGCGTGAGCCCCCAAAGGGAGAGCCGTGGTTTCCTCTAGCATAGGCTTTAAATTGGGGGCCTTTTCCACGGGGTTTAAGACAACCCGTGGCATGCATCATTGTTAAGAACACTACATCTGAAGTGACAGTGAGTCTGCTAAACTCCCTATGGGAACATCAGGGGTCACGTCTTGAGTCATCGTTTGTGGGGGAGACTGCCCCTCGCCAGCTAAAGGGAGAGGACCGCTTTCCCCCGCCCCCCCCAGCAGGCTCTGCTTTGAACCTACCTGAATATGATGGCGATTGCTCTTCTAGAAGTACAAACAAAGCAGGATGCACAAATCTTTGTCTTTGGGAAGCGAAATGATCACTGGGGTGTTAGCTGTGTCAAGCATGGGTTATAATCATGGGTCCTGAGATTAGCCAGGCATGCAAACACTTGCCACAGGAACCCGTATCTCCCTGCCTAAGGAACGCATCAGTCCAGACATACAAAAGAGAATTCCCTAATAAGCAAACCCTCCGTACCTTTTCCTGTATGGGATTTGGACACCTGCAGGGGATAAAATCAGGTTTGCCTTTGCTTGCTTGACAAGAGGAGGAGGAAAAGTGCATTTCAGAACACCCCAGAAGTAGACTAAGCCTTTATTTGTGTACATTTCCATCAGATATGTTTCATCTGACTTATTTAAAAGCTCATGGGGGATGACCTCATCTGTTAGCCGCCCAAAGGGATGAGCAGCTGGGAGAAGGGTGGCTTCTGGGCACAGTTTCAGCTGCTCCATGTGGGAATAACAAGCTTGAACTCTAACTGTGGTTATATAAGGAATTTCCTCGCCCCTCACAGGCATTTAGAGCTGTGGCCCACCCCAAGCACCCCACCTTAGACAGTGTGCACGGCCTGGCCTTTGTCACTGCATCTCCTTTGTGAAGAGCTCTAACCTGACATCCTACTTGCCCTTCAAGACTTAGCTCAGGGGCGTCTGGGTGGCTCAGTCGGTTAAGTGTCTACCTTCAACTCATGTCATGATCCCAGGGTCTTGGATTTGAGTTCCCAAGTGGGGTTCCCGGCCCAATGGGGACTCTGCTTGTCCTTCTCTCTCCCTCTCTCCCTGCTCTGCGCGCGCACTCTCTCTCTCTCTCTGTCTCTCAAGTAAATAAATAAAATCTTAAAAAAAAAAAAAAAACTTAACTCAGATGTAAAGGACACTGGCTGGACCATATTCATCCTTTGTTTAAGAGGATACATAGACTCCAGCGCTAGAGGGTGCGAACTTACTACAGAGATTCACCATCCAACCGCTGTGTCACCGGGGAAACTCAACCTTCATTTTCTCATCTACACAGCAGAGAGAAGGACCAGAGGTATCTCATAAGGTTGCCACAAGATCAAGTGTGTTGGTATCTATGAAGTGCTTAGAACACCACTGGGAGCAGAACAAGCTCCCAGTGAAATTAACCATCCTCATTATTGCTGTTGTTCTCAGAGTTCAAGATGAATTATAGAAATGAATTGATCAATCTCTCTCTTTTCACAGGAGGAGCAGATGGGTTTTAGACATCTTTACCACCACCGGCCACGGCTAGACACCGTTCCATCTCACTCGTAAAACAACAAGTGATGCTATAAGAAGATTAATGGAAAGATTTTTAACAATCACAGAAGGATCTGTAAGAACCTGGCTAAAATATTATTTTCTGAGTATAAAAATATTAAATGTTTATTGTAGAATTTTGTAAAAAGAGAAATATATAAAGAGAATTAAAATAACTCTTAGTATCTTTTTAATATGTATATGACAGATATGTATAGATGAATGTGGATACATAGGATACACGTATAATGCATATACAAAGCATGTTTAGTTATCATGCCATAGATCCACATATATAGTTTTCTAGTTGGTATGCTTAGAAACAGTATTTAGTGGCTGTATCATTACTTATATAAACAGTCCTCTGCTATTAGCTATTTAGATTGAGATCCATTTAAAAACATTTTTTTTTCGAAGTTATTAAAGTAATCTCTATATCCAGCGTGGGGGCTTGAACTCATGACCCTGAGATCAAGAGTCACATGGCCCTGCAACCAAACCAGGCAGGCACCCCCTGCGTTTCATTTTTATGCATTCGAGATTTAACAGATCACACATCTTTGTTTAAATATGTGATTATCTCTCTTTTTTTAAAAAGATTTTTATTTATTTATTTGACAGAGACAGACCATAAGTAGACAGAGAGGCAGGCAGAGAGAGAGAGGGAAGCAGGCTCCCTGCTGAGCAGAGAGCCCGACGCAGGACACAATCCCAGCACCCTGAGATCATGACCTGAGCCGAAGGCAGAGGCTTAATCCACTGAGCCACCCGGGCGCCCCTGTGATTATCTCTTTAAGATAGACTTCTAGAAGTAGAAATACTAAATCACTAGGTCACCGCATTTTGTAAGGCTCCTGATACAGACATTGCCAAATTGCCATCCAGAAGGAACATGCCCATTTATAATCCCAACATTTTATGAAAATCCCTATTTTACTGCATGCATATTTACCCTGAGAATTGCCTTAAAGCATTGTTAACCTGACAAGCCCCCGTCAATTTTTTTTGAAAGGTCATTTCCCTCTTGGGACCTCTCCCCCATGTTTTCATTAGCCAAGATCCCATAAGAAATGAACTGTGGCCCATGGTCACAATCATTCCGCAGAATGGCACCATATGCAGAATAAGTAGGCTCTTAGGTTAAGACTGAAAACTAGTATTTAGCAGGGATTCCTCTGCCTGGGACAGTGCTGGGATAATAAACTGTATTTGGCTGTGTGTGGAACCAAACCTACTTTTATACCAACACTGCTCCTTACCAGCCTCCCAACGACTCTATGAGAGAGGTGTCTAATGGGCATTGCATTCTCTCCCTCCAGAATTCATACATTGAAGCCCTAACTCCCAGTGTGACTCTATCTGGAGATGGACTTTAGGAGGTATTTAAAGCTTAGGGAGTTGTAAAAGTGAGGTCCTAATCAAATTAGATCGGTGGGCTTGTAAGAAGAGCGAGAGGGAAAGACAGTTCCGGTGTGCACGCAGCATAGAAAGAGCATTCGAGGTCAGAGCCAGAAGATAGCCATGTAGAGCTCTCACCAGAATTTGACCGTGCTGGCACTCTGATCTCAGATTTCAAGTCTCCAGAGCCACGAGGAGATAAATTTCTATTGTTTAAGCCACCCCATCTATAGTAATTTTTTCTGCTAGCCTGAGCAGACTAAGACAGTGTCTTTGCTGTGACTTACAGACAAGGAATGTGAATAGCAATGAATCTTGGAACACTGAAAAAATAAAATAAACAAACCAAACAAACAAGAAAACAAAATAAAAATAGGAAAGTGAATAAGACTAGGAGAAATAAAGTACTATTTGGCCCCAATCACAAGAGTCAGAAACAAGCAAGGTTTGGAAGCTCACCCAGGTGTCCTTATTCCAAGGCCAGAGCTCCTCCACTGCACACACGGACAATAGCCTTGGAGGGCCGAGGGCCACAAGTTCCCACAACCAGTATTAGACTGAGACTTGTCACCAGAAGGTGAATGTTTAATCTTAAATAAATAGGTTTTGACTTCTCCCTCATGAAAAATGTTGAACTTCTTGCAAAGCTAAAATGCAAATTGTGTGCAAAACCATTTTTGCCCTCCCAGCGGGAAGTGACATAAAGCCTAATGATATCCTTACAGCATTGATTGAGGGTGATACGTGCAGTGGAGCAGGCTCTCAGAGTGGTCCTAGTCAGACAAGTAAAATAAGTGGAAAGATATATAATGGAAAATGTTTCTTTATTTTTTTTAAATGTTTTTTAAAGATTTATTTATTTATGGGGGGTTGGGCAGGGGCAGCAGGAGATGGAGGGAGAGTCTCAAGCCGACTCTGCACTGAGTGTGGAGCCCCATTGGGGGCTTGACCTCATGACCCTAAGATCATCATCAGAGCCGAAATCAAAGCCGGGTTCTTAACTGACTGAGCCACCCAGGATCCCCTGAAATGTTTATTAAAAAATAAAAATAAAAGAGAGGCGCCTGGGTGGCTCAGTGGGTTGAGCCTCTGCCTTCGGCTCAGGTCATGATCTCAGGGTCCTGGGATCTGAGCCCCGCCTCAGGCTCTCTGCTCAGCGGGGAGCGACTCTCTGCCTACTTGTCATCTCTCTCTGTCAAATAAATAAATGAAATCTTAAAAGAAAATAAAGGAAACATGGGAGTTACAGGTGGAAATTAGATGGACTATGTGTCTATCCTCCCATTCAGTGGGTCTGCACAGCTAAGCCCCGCCCACACACCAGGCACTCTTGTGGAACGATTCAGTAGCGTGCCTGGTAGACAAAAATCCCGGGTCCATGAACATGGCATGTTCATGGAAAGGTATTATCCACTGACTCAAGAATGCACTGGGCTGAATTTCACAGAAATCCAGAGGTAGTCAGTTAGCTAGAAAGATATTTGCTCTTCCCCATTAGCAGGAGAGCTTGGCTGCTTTGTCACGGGCGGTGGGGAGCAGCCGAGGCTGCCCAAGTGTACAGGTTTCTTCTAGCATCCTGAGCTCTCAATCGTGCAATTTTCATCCTCCATGTAATTTTCCACCTCATGGTTCTCTTTATCTCCTCGGGAGGGTGAATCTCTGCTCCAGACTGGAAGAAAGGGTAAGATCAAGGGGAAATAGGCATGGACCATCTAAGTCTACTTAGTTTAAAAAAAAAAAAAATAGACTTCTTGCTTTTTTGCTAGTGACTCCATATTCTGTATTAAAGTGCAGCAGAAAATTCACACCAAGTCTTAATGCTTGTGTCTCCTTACTTTCAAAGACTGGCTCACTAACATCCATGGAAAGGTTTTGGATAGAAGTCTATGTTGTTAGCATTATACATGGGAGTCACAAATTAAGAAACAGCATGATACCAGTAGTGTCTTTGTTTACATATAAATAGCTAATAAGCCAGGTGGGAATGTCAGGAAGAACAGAAATAAGTTACCTGAATGGCTCCTCCAGTGGGTTTCTAATTATGCAAATCATTTTTCTTGGAGGGCAGATGCTTCCAGCGCTTTCTACTTAGACTTTGGTGAGTTTGGTCCTCTTTCCTCTGAGACGTTTCTAGAACTCCTTCAGAAGGTGTGCTGTTTCATAAGGAGGGGCAGAAACAAGACGAACAAGTCATTCAGGTCCATCTGACTCAACTGAGGACTCCTTTCCTGCCACCCTCTCTCACAGAGATCTCTCCATCTTGAAACCCTGGGCAGATTATTGTTTTGCGCATTGATTTCAGCACCAAATAATTGTTATTGCATATATTTAAATCTTACCTACCAAATAAGGGAAGTGGTGATTTCTGTAGTTTGAAGACCAAGTAATACTTATTTCTTAATTTAAAAACTGTCATTTTTATGTCCCTCAGCCCTGGAACAACATCAGACCTGCACTTGATATTTAATACTTGATGATTTTAGAGACAACTTTTACAAACCATGGAACTGTTCACAAGCAAACAAAATAATTCTTTAATAGCAGAACAAGCAACCAATCAAAATAGAATGATTCAAACATGAAGAGATCAGTTGAAAAAGAGGTGAAGTCAAATGTGAACTAATGTTTGTTAAAGATAGATGAAGCTATCTTTGAAACAAAGTTCAAATATAGCTATTGAAAAAAAGAAGAAACATGAAAAAGGCTAACAGTTTTGAAAGGTAGGTCTAGATACTAGGAAAATCTAAGAAGCATGTTGGGTAGATGTTCTGGTAAGTGAAATTCTGCTGATCTCACTGAACATACTGAAAATCTGTAGATGCCTTTATTTTATTCACACACACACACATACACACACACACACACACATATAACATGGAGAAATATAGAGTAAACATCTTTTTTTATACAACAGACTACAGGGCAACCCCTTCAGGCCCCCTCCCTCCTTGGGAGCTTTGTACTGTCACTTTGCTATCGCTCAATAAACCTTCCTTTGCTGCCCACCACTCTGTCTGCTCTACCTCTTCATTCTTCAAAGTGGTGTGACCAAGAACTGTGGGAACCGATGGAGAAAAATCCTGCAACACCTGGACCAGAGAGATTACAGTTGTCCAGAAAAAGAAGGTGTCCTCAGGTCACATAGCCAGACTAAGTACCTCCAGGTGTTTGCTCAGAGAAAACAAGGAAGGTGAATAGAGGCTCTGGAGGTCAGCGTAATGCCCACCTCAAATCTCGGCTCTGAGCACGTGACTCTTGATCTCAGGGTCATGAGTTTGAGCCCCATGTTGGGTGTAAAGATTACTAAAAAAGTAAATGAATAAATAAACTTAAAAAAAAAAAACCCAACAGACTAGAATGTTAAATTAATATTAAAAATGGGCTGTACACTTTCCCTATCATGACAGAATAAATTTATTATTTTTTTTAAAAGAAAACATTTAGTTTCCTTGCTACTGCCTCCCTTGTTTTACTATGTAGAAGTTAGAGAGGCCAGCAAAAGTTGATCTTAAGGAAATGTTTATGGCAGTATTATTTCCCTCATGAAAGTTCAGAAGGTTGACTTTCCCACAACAGAAAATTTGTCAAAATAAAATTACAGTATGGCCTCACAAAAAAATGCTATAAAAATGTAATTACATGGACAGCAGTTGTAACATATCAAGAGGAAGAAAAAAAATGACCCAACATCAGTGATGTCTGTAACTAGCTAGAACCTTTTGAAGCCAGCCTCCTGTTTCCTAGCTCTTAGACCCTGGGTGAGTTTTATGACTTTTCTGTCACTCAGTTTCTTAACAACCAAATTAGTTTCTATACATTTTCATTTTTTGAAGGGGAAAAACTTGGGATGATGACTAACATAGTAGTAAGCAATGTGTGCATGTGTTTGTGTGTGTCGTAGCTTTTAGATTTCCAATACAAAGAATGAATCATGGTTCTTTCTCTGGATCTTAAATTATGGAACGTAAGAATTTTTTAAATTCTCCAATTCTTTATTACTTTTTTTTTAAATAATTCTTTTTTTTTTTTTTTTTTAATTTGACAGACAGAGATCACAAGTAAGCAGAGAGGCAGGCAGAGAGAGAGAGAGGAAGGGAAGCAGACTCCCTGCTGAGCAGAGAGCCCAATGCGGGGCTCGATCCCAGGACCCTGGGATCATGACCTGAGACGAAGGCAGAGGCTTTAACTCACCGAGCCACTCAGGTGCCCCTCTTTATTACTTTTAAAGCAATAGAATGATATGTTCTGTCAGCCTAGAATTATAAGGTTCAAGCCACTTCACAACCTGACCCCTAAGCACAAGTATTCGGGGGTCACACAGGGTCAGAAAAACCAAACACATGTTAAAACCTAGGGTCCTCAGTGAGATGCACCTGTAATCTCCCTTAGAAGAAAGATTTTTCAAATCGAGGGTCACATTAGTGCCTTAGTGTGTTGTGAAATCAATCCCGTAGTTTGCAACGAGCATTAAAAGAATGAAATGGGGGAGCGCCTGAGTGGCTCAGTGGGTTAGAGCCTCTGCCTTCAGCTCAGGTCATGATCCCAGGGTCCTGGGATCGAGCCCCATATTGGGCTCTCTGCTTGGCGGGGAACCTGCTTCCTCCTCTCCCTCCTGCCTGCCTCTCTGACTACTTGTAATCTCTGTCTATCAAATTAAAAAAAGAAAAAAAAAAGAATGAAATAGATTGGAATGCATCAGAAAGCAAGCACTTAAGTTGGTATTGTTTTCTGAATGTGTGTGTGTATTTTCAGGTGTGTGTGTAAGCATGTGCCCATGACACAGAGAGAGGCAGAGAATTTGCTACTCCACTTTGCAACCAGAAGTTGGAAAGTCTCCTCATTTGATTTCTGCTTCAGAAATATTTCAAGTGTAGACTCTCCATTCCCATACTGTCTCCTTAGGTGAAGCCCTTGTCTTTCTTCTAAGACTATTGCAACAGACTACCAACCTCTGACACTGAGCCCTTTCCAATAATTATTTTTTTTAATATTTTATTTATTTATTTGAGAGAGAGAGAATGAGAGAGAGAGCACGAGAGGAGAGAGAACAGTGGGAGAAACACTCTCTGGCGATCAGAGAGCCTCATGTGGGACTCGATCCCAGACTCCAGGATCATAACCTGAGCAGAGGGCAGTTGCTTAACCAACTGAGCCACCCAGGAGACCCACCAATAATTATTTTTTATGTGAAAATTCTAAAACCAAGACAGCTACAAGAACAATACACAAATCCTGTCCTTTAAAACTTCAGGTCGTTCCCCAGCCTATAGAAGAACAAACTTCTCATGCAGGCATGGGGGGTTGGTGATGGGGGATCTCCACAAGATGGTCTTTTTGGGGTTTTCTCTGCTGAAGCCTGTGCTTCAGCCATACTGCGCTCCTCTCTCAGCATCCTTCTATAAGGTCTGGCCTTGATAAACAAATTCCCATCTGGACCTCTTACTACGGCAAGTCCGAGGAAAAGCCCAAAAAAGCATCCCAGACCTTATCCCGGTAACTCCTCTCCCACAGCTTTGCAGGCACATGGGCCAACCCAGTCCTGCTCGAGATCTGGGGTTATGTTTTCCACTGAGCTTTTCCTGACTCCCATTTTCAAGTTAATTGGGAGTAGGGACTCTATCTTTTTCTCTTTGTGTGTACTTGGCATTTAGGAGGTAGACTGGGGTTGGGTGGGGTTGGGGTTTGGCCTAATGAAACCAGAAGCAAAATTCAGTTGAGGACACGGCTCATGGAGGTGACCTGATTTGGGGAAAACAGGTATCACATGTTAGGTCGCTTTACTCACTCCATCAAGCCACAGGGACCTAAGACTGGTTTAAGTCACAAACAACCCACATGCCTTGGAGATTATGGTTCATTAGATTGTGTTTACCCAAATAAAGTCGTACTCTGCGATTTTTTAGACAATTCTATAAGCATCTCCTAAGCACGCCGTGAGACATTTAAGAGATGTGTTACTTCCTTCACATACATAAATAATTTCCAATAAAAATCAGTGTGTGAATAATTTATTTTTTCCATCCATTGGAAGCCAACCGTTTAGAAAACCACTCAGAAGAGCTGAAGTAAACCCCTTGTTCAAAATTCCTTTTAAATTTACAAGGAAAGAGGAAGTTATTTCCTTCTCCTTGAATTTTCCCGAAAATCGAGAGCTTTATCTAACAGTTTTGGCATTCGGAGTCGTTTTTCATGAAAAAGTTAAAAGGCACGTGAAATCTGGGTCTCCGCAGACCACCCAGCAGTGAAAGATGGACGATTCTGCTAGGAGGATTTGTGCGGGATCCAACTTTTGGGGGTAAAACAAACACAAAAGCTCCTCCCTCGAGGGGCGGGGCGATGCCCGGGTGATGCACCAATCACAGCACGCCCTGCCCTATATAAGGCCTGGAGGCCGCGCGGCATCTTGTGCTGGTCCGTAGTCGCCCTCAGCTTGTCTTCGTGCCATGTCTGAGACGGCTCCCGCAGCCACAGCTGACACTGCCTTGGTTTCAATGGAGAATCCTCCAGTAAAGAAGAGGGGGAAGAAGCCGGGGAGCCAGCCAGGCGCTAGTCGCAAGGCCCCGAGCCTCTCCGTGTCCAAGCTGATCACGGAGGCGCTTTCTGTGTCCCAGGAGCGAGCAGGCATGTCCCTGGCTGCGCTCAAGAAGGCGCTGGCGGCTGCCGGCTACGACGTGGAGAAGAACAACAGCCGCATCAAGCTGGGCCTCAAGAGCCTGGTGAGCAAGGGCACCCTGGTGCAGACCAAGGGCACCGGCGCCTCGGGCTCCTTCAAGCTCAGCAAGAAGGCACTTCCTGAGCCCACTAAGAGCAAGGTCAAAAGGCCATCTTCCGCCAAGGCGAAGAAGCTGGTTTTATCCAAGGATTCGAAATCCCCGAAAGGTGCCAAGACCAACAATAAAGCCAAGAAGCCCAGGGCAACGGCAGCGCAGAAAACGGCCAGAAGCGGCAGGAAGGCCCTGGGGGCCAAGGGCAAGCAAGCACGAAAGAGCCCGGGCAAGGCCAGAGCAGAGAAGCCGAAGGCCGGGAAGCCCAAGCTGAGCCAGCAGAAAACCAACGCGAGGAAAGTGGCGTCCAAGAAGTAAGCCAAAAGAAGCTCTGTTGTGAACCCAAAGGCTCTTTTAAGAGCCACCTCAAGTACTTAAAAAACGGCGTGACACTGAAAACTTCTAGTAGCATTTACTTGTGTAACCGTGTAGTGGTCTGTTAAGTGAACTGTATTGTAGGAAGTAGGGTCCTGTCAGAGAAGGTACCGATCTAGAAAGGTTTATCAGTATTTGCAAATCCTGTATCCTTGTCCAAAAGTAGGTTGCACAGTAGAGTTAAATAGGGAACATGGCCTTGTGTAGCCGCCATTTTTCTCTGGAAAGGCATAGTAGGTTGAGGTTGGAGCAGAGATCAGCTTTGCAGGAATGTAGCTGACTTTCCAAGGGCTTGTATTCCAGTTGACCTTGTTACATGGTCCTGTTGTAAATAGGGTTCCAGAACTTACTGTCCACAGCTTTCTGTGGGTCAATATATAGGAAGTGTAACAAGATTTGGATTGGAATTTTAAATCTTTCTGGAGTTTTTCCATCTACTTTTTGAAGACTTTGGAGAGGGAGAAACAGGCTCATCGCTGAGTAGGAAGCTGACCTGGGGGCTCCATCCCAAGACTCTGAGGTCATGATCTGAGCCAAAACCAAGAGTCAGGTACTTAACCAACTCAGCCAGTCAGGTGCCCCGGGTTTAACATTTAAAAATAGAAATATCAAGTACCTTCAGTTTACAGTTGAAAGAATATTGAGGGGCACTTGGGTGGCTCAGTGGCTTAAGCCTCTGCCTTAGGCCCAGGTCATGATCTCAGGGTCCTAGCCCCATTGGGCTTTCTGCTCAGCAGGGAGCCTGCTTCACTGTCTCTGCCTGCCTCTCTGCCTACTTGTGATCTCTGTCAAATAGTATCTTTTAAAAAAATATTGAAATACCATATATCATTTCCAAAGTACTGTATTGTCACATTAAAGAAATTGGTTTAATACAATTAGTCCAGCATAATTGTAATTCTGTTTTAGGACGAGTGGATAGGCTTGTCCAGATTGTGTCCCACAGGCTGAAAAATACTAAACCTTTACGGAAATACTGGGGCTACAGTTTTCAGGGTCCAAACTGAGCTACATCACAAAAACTTGGAAATTCTCGGGGTCTGAGTGAACGCCTCTCTCATTTTAAGCAAAATCAGTTTTTCAGCTTTCACTTAATTTGGGATTTGGCATTCTTAAAAGGTTACTGTAAGTGTCAAATTCATACTGTTAATCTTATTTTGGGCCTTGGTATTTGGAGCAACCTTGAACAAAGATCCATGCAAAAACTACGTAACGCATTCTTTCATGTGCAAGCTTGTATTACAACTCGTTAGGGCTTTGCCTTTCTAAACTCGTTCATGTAATTAGGCCTCTGACGATCTTTTATATAAGGGAAAACGAATACACATAATGGTTTAAAGTTGTATAGAATCAGCCACAGCCTGTGTCTTGCTTGGACATAGCGGTCAGTTTCTTTCAGATTGGGAAGGCCGCTCAGAAATATGCTTCACTTACCGGGGAAGGCCGTGAGTCCCCCGTCCGACTGCCGCGCCCAGCAGCGGACGGACCCCAGACCTCCGCCTGGTAGCCGGCAGGTGCCCGGGACTGCTCGAATCCGTCTAGAGCTGACCCCGAGATCCTGCGCGCCTTTGTTCCTCGCACCTTTTTAGCTCCTGGCATACATCGGGTTAAAAACAAAGTTAACCAACCAGGGTTCTTCCTCCACTTCCGGGTCCAGCAATTAGACCCTTTCCAGCCAACAGGAAAATGGTGCTGAAATCCCACCCTCTGCAATTGTGCCGCACCACAGCGAGTATCATCCAATCAGAACTTGTCCCCAGAGGACCTTCATTTACAAAATCGCGGCTGGTGTGACCGGAGAGCTTTGTGCTTCTGCGGTTATGTAAAGGACCTTCGTCGGGGTGCTCACTATTGCGTTAAATACACGCATTTCTGTCCTGAAAACACTTGCCAGCACTTGACCATTTAAAACAATCTTGCGACCCCGTTAGTATGGTATAAACGCCCCATAACCGAAAACTACAGCACTCCGCAAACGACTACCAACCTAGTCTCCCGTAAATTTATGCTAAGCAACTACCACTGAACTTTATATTACCCCAAATTTAAGACTACTAAGCATAACAGCCTTTTAAAGGATTTTGTGGGCGGCCCTGAAAAGGGCCTTTGTGTTTGAAAGTATGGTGGGTGGGTTACGTGCGCTCAGCCCCCGAAGCCGTAGAGGGTGCGGCCCTGGCGCTTGAGCGCGTAGACCACGTCCATGGCCGTGACCGTCTTGCGCTTGGCGTGCTCCGTGTAGGTGACGGCGTCGCGGATCACGTTCTCCAGGAACACCTTGAGCACCCCGCGGGTCTCCTCGTAGATGAGGCCAGAGATGCGCTTGACGCCGCCGCGCCGGGCCAGCCGCCGGATGGCGGGCTTGGTGATGCCCTGGATGTTGTCGCGCAGCACCTTGCGGTGGCGCTTGGCGCCCCCCTTGCCCAGGCCCTTCCCGCCCTTGCCACGACCAGACATGATTGTCGCTGAACTGACAACGCCGTCTTTACGCAGCCCTTTAAATAGCATTTCTGCGGACCTGATTGAGAACGCTGTGCTCTGGCGTTCTTTCCAAATTAGGTCAGTAAAGGAGGGTGGGGCAATGAGCCCTCATTAACATATCGATGTTTTCATTGGCCGGTGAAACTTCGCTCTGCGCCGGCGCGCTGGAGGAGGAGAAGGTATGGCTCTCCTCTGACTGGAAAGCTTCTTCCTCTTCTGTCCTGCGTTGTTTTTTCCCGGGCGCGTTTGCAGGTAGAATGTGTTCTTTTTTATCAGGTAAAGCCGCTGAGCAAAGAGAACCACTCAACGTTTCATTTTATTTCCACTTAATAACTAGTAAGTTATGTAATGATTCCTTGGCGGGGGCGGGGGGTGTAGAGGTCATATGGGAAAGACGGTGGATTTGTAGGTCAAGGGACTTTCCCTCCGGTTTCTTTAAACTGACACATTTAGAAGGGCTTCTTTATGCTGGAGGAAGTGTCAGCCTGGCTTTCTAAAAGCTCTGGCCCCGTGTCTAGGGGGTGGGTGGGAAGGCGAACAATTGCAAATTAAAACGTCTGTTCCCTTTCAAACATTATTGAGTGACTCCTGTTTCTACAAAAAAGTCTGTGCCAGGGTTAGGGAACCTGGAGCTAAGCTTGGAGAGCCAGTTGTCCCTGGATCCTCTCCTGGCCCGCTGGGCCTGTCTGATGTGCCGGCAATTCCTAGTAAGCTTACCTTCCCTCCCTAACTCAAGGCTTGTTAGCCTTCTCCAGGTTTAGAGACAAGAACAAACGTGTTGTTGAGTTGGGGATTAATTGTAGGGCAGGGCTAATACTTGATTAAGGTCATTACAAAGCCTACAGGGCCCTCTTCTGGAGGGTTTTTAATGAGATTATCGGTGTTTTAAACAAGGCTAATCCCATTAAGGAGAAAAAAGCAGAATAGAGTAGAACTGGATCTGAATATGGTTTGGGAGAGGGCTTTTTCAAACAAAACATTTCTCCTTAGCCTCCTGCTGCAGCTTTTGAAAATTTCCATGATGAGACTTACTCTAGTCAAAACATGGAAGTGAGGGTGCATACCCTCCATCCTACTTAATAAATAAATGTCTATTGTGGATACTTAGAATGAGACTATGGCCTGAGAGCGATCACATATATATATAATCTCATACTTTTTCAGATGAAAAAAGTTCCAGGAGAGGGTAGGAAAGCCCTGATCTATAACACATCTGGAACTATTAAGCATTCTTCTGCCCCAGACTGAGGGTTTTTAGGTTCCTGACTTTTACTCTCTCCCTCCCACCACAAACACATATTTTACAAGGAGGACTTAGCTAGGAAGAAATGTCAAACACTACAGAGAAAAGGTGTAAGGTCTGAGGTTATAAGTAAAACTGAAATCTCAACATGCTTTTTAATTCATGGAAATAAATAAAAGTAGCATGTATATAATATGGTAATTTAATGCAAAAATCCACAGTGTGAGCCACCGCGGATACACATCCCAGCAGCTGCCCTCTGCATTTCGGCCAGAGATCCAGGCCAGCTTCCCCCCAATTTTATTTTGCCCACTCTATCATTAATAAAACCTCACTTTTATTTTGATATCTTTTTCTTTTTTTCTATTCCCTTCTCCTAATGTTCTCTTTTATCAATTTCTGTCAATGACATTGACTCAAAATTTGTGAATGTCAGAACAGAAATGTTTAAAAGGTATGCAGATACAGATGTATAGTAAAGATGGTCCTTCCTCGGTTGGGCATCTGTCTTGGGCTCAGGTGGTGATGCCCGAGTCCTGGGATCGAGTCCTGCATCGGGCTCTCTGCTTGGCGGGAAGCCTGCTTCTCCTTCTGCCTGCTGCTCTCTCTCTCCTGACAAACAAACAAATAAACTCTTAAAAAAAAAAAAAAAAAATGGATCCTTCCACTCAGTGAAGAGTGCCTGCCTTTCTTGGTCTTAAGGTTTGGGAGAGGGGTGGCTCACTCTGGAACCTTTATGGCTGACTTTTCTGTTCATCTGTCTTACCCTCAGAGTGAAACTGGCTTCAGAGAACCCCGTTCATTCAACATGTGAGGTACGTCTTTCAGCTAACAACCCTACAAACAAGTTGTGGCTAATAGGTCACATCACACGTTTGAATGAATAAAACCATGAGGTTAATGAAAGGTCTTATAAAAATATGAAATTCCTACAACCACCCTCTGCAGCAGACTGACTCAATCAAAGTATCAGAGCTGAGGAATCATGTATAGATTACATATGTGTGTGTGTGTGTGTATCAAACAATTTTTTTAAAAAAGATTTTATTTGTCAGAGAGAGAGATGCAGGCTCCCCGCTGAGCAAGGAGCCCAATGAAGGACTTGATCCCAGGACCCTGGGACTGTGACCTGAGCCCAAGGCACACACCTAACTGATTAAGCCACCCAGGCACCCTTATAATTGGCAAATAATTCTGATACTTGCCCAGGGTTGAGAGCTACCACTATATATCATCATTTTAAAGTGTATAATTGTTCTTTAGTGAGAAGAAATATTAGAGTAGAAATACTTTTGACTTATATTACAGTCAAAGAAAGGTATACGTTCAGCCAGACCCAACTTAGTTTTCCAGGGCTTTATAACATTCGTTATCTTTGGGCATTTGGGGACATCACTCCTAGTCTGGGGCGGACAGCTCTTCCAGCCATGTACTGATGAACCTTACTGCGATTTAAGGCTTCAGTACATTTCTCTTTTCCAGCAACCTAACCTTTACCCTGGTATGAATACCCATTGTCTTAGTCACTTTCCCTAAATTCAGTTTTCATTCCCATTGGCTTATCTGTGGCCCATAACATATACTAGGTCTTTCCCTAGTTTCCTTACTTCCTCTCTGTCTTGTTCTAGAAAATGCTCTACGTTTTCTTTTCAGTACAAACAGTCTACTGAAAGGTTTTGTCCCATCTACTTCCTCAGCCTGCTGTCTTTGTGGGCACTTAATTAAACATTCTTAATTTATTTTGACCTCCTAAAAAAAGTTCTTTGGACAGGGAATTTCTGACAATGTCCTTTGTATATATATATTTATTTGTATCAAAATTTTTTTTAAAAAGTCTCTAATTAAATTTGATTTTCAAATTCCTTTGGATACTTTTTTTTTTTTTAAAGATTTTATTTATTTATTTGACAGACAGAGACCACAAGTAGGCAGAGAAGCAGAGGGTGGGGGGTGGGAAGCAGGCTCCCTGCTGAGCAGAGAGCTCCCTGCTGGGCTAGATGCCAGGACGCTTAGATCATGACATGAGCCAAAGTCAGAGGCTTTGAACCACTGAGCCACTGAGCCACTAAACCACAAAGGCACCCCCTTTGGATACTTTCTTAATCACATACACAAAACACAAAAAGTATTTTGCTCTTGTTTTAATGGCAAAACTGTAATTCCAAACATATACAAAAGGAAACTCCACTAACTGTTACATCTGTATTTAAGACAGATGCCCTCTTTCGCACACATTGTCAAGACGTTTTGGCAGGATCAAAATTGGTTATTTACTGCTTTATGGAAATGCCATTGTGGTAACTATTTAAGGAATTAAATTCAGGGCATTTAATCAATCCTAGAGTAAGGTTAACTGAGACTTACCACTGGGCTTTATACAGATACTGGTACTTCCCCTCCTCACCCACACGCCGTCCCACCACAAGTACACAGAAGACTCCAAAACTGTTTGTTAGACTCTTTGGATCAAAAGCTAGAATTTTATATTTAAAAAATAACAATACTTTAAAAAAAACCAAAAACACAAATAGCAACAACAGTTTCTACCCAAATCTGGTGAATAACGTGATTCACAGGTGTTTCAGGGCTACTCAGACTCAAATTTCTCCCTTTATGAGAAAGAGAATAAATAGAAATGAGAATTCATTCATTAGAAATTTGTTTATTAACAGAAAAAAAAGAAACCCTTAAAAAATACACCCAAAGAAAATGTTTCCAGGGGTGCCTGGGTGGCTCAGTGGGTTAAGCCTCTGCCTTCGGCTCAGGTCATGATCTCAGGGTCTTGGGATCAAGCCCCACATCCGGCTCTCTGCTCAGCAGGGAGCCTGCTTCCCTCTCTCTCTCTCTCTGTCTGCCTCTCTGCCTACTTGTCAAATAAACAAGTAAAATCTTTAAAAATGATAATGCCTAAGAGACGTCTCTTGGGTTTATAAAAAAAAAAAAAAGAAGAAAATGTTTCCAAATATTTATGAAAAAGTTACAGAGATATGGCAAATTCTGAAATGTTAAAACAGATTCTCTCCCCACTACAGCAAACATCAGAGGTGTGGCCACCAGGAGCAGCCCTGAGAGTCAGGAGCAGTGCCCCATGACATTTTTTCTTGACACAGAAAGAGGTACTGTATAGTGGTTATGACCCTGACTCTGAGCCAGACAAGCGAGAATAAAAATTGAGCACAATAATTTTCTAACTGTGCAACCTTCAGCAAGTTAGGTCACATCTCTGTGCTTTGGTTTCCATAAAACCAAATAAGGGTAATGAAATAACCATGGTTCCTACTTCACTGTATTCTTCAGAAAAAATATCCTGAACAAGGCCTGACATTTAGGAAATGCATACTTATTGTTAGCTGAAAAAAAATAGTTTTAGAAAATATTCATGCCATGGAAGACATGTGTGCTGGATGTCAAGTCAATCTAGGCTTTGTAACAAAATCATCACGTACAATCATTAATAATGAGTTGGCATTCTACCTGTTAACATTGATTCCAAAAGAGAAACAAACAAACAAACAAAAAAAACGATTACGCAAAGTCTACAGATAGAAATCAAAATCTCAGATACCCATCCATCAATGTGAAGATCTTCAGTGTTTAAAGTCATGCATTCTTAGTTCTAGTCATTATTAGATTAGAGTGAGATTAGAAAAAAAATTATAGTTTAAAAATGGTAGCTTAATAGAGTTTTCCAGCATTTTAGAGATGGCATGTTTTCGAAGTGGGGTGTGTGTGTGTGTGTGTGTGTGTGTGTGTGTGTGAACATGAAAAATGTTTCATAGTGAGTCAAGCCCACTAGCCCTGTAAGACCATATTGTTCAAGCAGAGCAAGAATGTCTGCTTTAACCCCCCAGCAGGTCTTTTTTTTTTTTTTTTTTTTTTAGATTTTATTATTTATTTACTTGACAGACAGATTACAAGTAGGTGGAGAGGCAGGCAGAGAGGAGGAAGCAGGCTCCCGGTGGAGCGAAGAGCCCAGTGTGGGGCCGGATCCCAGGACCCCGTGGATCATGACCTGAGCAGAAGGCAGAGGCTTAACCCACTGAGCCACCCAGCACCTCCCCCTCCACACCCCCACACCAGCCCCAGCAGGTCTTAACCAACTGCTGCACCTGAACTTCAAAGATTACCAAAGTTTTCTTCGGTTCAGGCAGCTCAGCAGTGAGCTGTGATGAAACCAGCTGGTGACTCAAATTCCTCAAATTCTCTGGGGCTTTTCTCTACAAAGGATGTCCAGTGGCCCTCTCCTCTTTCTGTCTCCTTATTCCTACAGGAAACACCGCCCCCACCCCATAGCTAGACAGTCGCATGACCAGTGTGACACTTTCGACGGTAGCCACCAGGTGGCACCCTTCTCGACCCGGCCGCGATTTGTTTGTGGCTGGTTTTGCCAGAGGCCACATAGGATCCAGAATTTAAAATGTAGGTCTTTGATTTTTCAAAGGTAGTTGATCTTAAGAATTGATGGACAAGGGAAGAAAAATTAAGGTAAGAAACACTGAAAGAAAATAGAGGTTTATAATTTCCATTATAAAAAGAATGAGCGGCTCAGTCAGTTAAGCATCTGACTCTGGGTTTTCACTGAGATTCTGATCTCAGGGTCGCGAGATTGAAGCCTGCGCTGGGCTTTGCACCCGGCGTGGAGCCTGCTTAAGATTCTCTCTCTTCTGCTCCTCTGCCCCCTAAAGAAATCATGCAGTATGCAACACACTAATTTTATGTTTATTAAAGCGTATATGTTGATTTTATGTGTTAATATAGCAAAACTAAGAGGAGATACACAGATCGTCTATCACTAGCTAATTGGAACGAGAGTTTCAATTGAACTCATTTTCAACTTTTTGACAATAAGTACAAATTACATGTACTTTTATCCACTTAACTTCTGTAACCAGAAAAAAAGAAAAGTTAAAAAAAAATCGTTGAGCTCTCTTTGCCCAAATTCAATACCTACCAAACCGTTGAGCTATATTTGGACTTTCGAGGCACCTGCCGCAGAGACAGAATGCCTGTTGCACTGTTTGCAGCCGAATGTACATAGCAGCAGAAAGGAGACGCGTGCCATCCGGGCATCATGTCACTTTCTTTTGAACATGGTCAGATGAATTACTTTCCCAGAACGGAGTAATTCCTGAGCAGCTTGGTGAGATGAGTTTCTTTTCTTAATGTGCACAATTGGGGAAGAGAGACAGACTCCCTGGAACCCCAGGAATATGCCAGGGTACCCCCAGGCCGCACTGTGGCATCCGTTTTGCCATCTTTAATATGAGAGATGTCGATCTGGTTCCTGGAGGGAAATGTGCCAGCAGGATTGTGACTCTGGAGGTGCAGGCAAAACGAAAACACCGTGGGGTCCAGCATAGCCGCAGACACACAACACCGATCCCTGTCGCGACACGGGGGCGCCAGAGACGCACGGGACAGAGCGGCCCCGGGCTGGCAGCAGAGGAAGCCAGCCACACGCTGGACTTCTTTCCCCAGAGACTTCGAAAGGAAATGGTGGAGCTTATTTTCTACTATTTCCCTTTGTTTTGGTCAAGCTCGGGCAAAATACAGACACTGGGGCCACGGAGGAGCCGTGCCCCTCCCTTCTCCATTTCTTGGCACAGCTAAAACATTGAATGCCCAGGCGTGTGAGATGGGTCAGAGTCAGACTGACAGAGCTGCAGACCTGTCTCTAGACCTGGCAGGCTGTGAGCTACTCTGTACCTCATTTTGTTCACCTAAAGAAAGGACGAGGATAACAGTACTTACATCAGAGCATTATTGTGAGAATTATATGGTAAGTGGGTGCTCAGAACTTAGTCTGGTAGCAAGTAAAATGCCTTTTTAGAAAATACATATATATATAAGTGTCAGCCCCCTTATCACCATCATTATCATTCTTAGGATCATTTTCATTGTCCTTTCATTAGCAGAGAGAAGGTAGGAAATGACTGCATTACTTCAAGCCTGGCACACCAGAGAGGCACTAGGAATGCTTTAATGTAAATCGTGAGTCTGTGTGGATCTGTGACAACTTGCTGCCAAATAGAAAAAGATACCCTCTTCAAGACATTTCCCACCCCCTTCCTGGAAAACTATCATAAATAAACAGAGGCATCCACAATGGCTCTTCTTGGAAAGGTGCCTCCTTGGGTTGTGCAGTGCACGGCCTTTGCCGCTGTACACTGACCCACTTCACCCTCTGATGGAAGAGACCAGAGGGGCAGTGACAGGTGAATTACTGGACAACAGAGAGAGAGGGGACCAAAAGGAAACTCGGATGGGCCTAAGAAATGCCTGAATGTATGTGCAAAATTCTGGTAAGGGCATGAGAGTGTTATGTCCCAAGGAGAAAGTTCATTGTTTTTCTCAGATGTTGAAAGGAACCATGAGTCCCCCAGATTTCAGGAGCGCTATTCCCGAGGTAGGAGATGTGATGACGTGGGCACGCGGAGTGGGAAGTGATGCAGAAGCGAAGGCAGGCCCTAGAGGCAGCTGGTGATTCAAGGAGGCTGTTCTGCCCCGAGGCCAGCGCTGGGGCTCTCTGGCACGCGGGAACTCAAAAACTGAAATGGGAGGAACTTTCCAAAAATGAAGAAGGCAGGACTCAAGCAGAGACTTGCTGGTGCAGTTCCCGTCCGTTCAGTCCAGTCCTGCTCTGGAACACCAAGAGGGCCACAGCGGCGCCCTCTCTTTGAGTCTCCACGTCTCCTCCCCACAAGGGGTCTGCAGGCTGTCCGTCACTTACATTCGGCCAAGACGTAGTCCCCCATGGCTCCTCCTGCAGAGACAGGAGACAGGAAAGTGCATCGCAGACCCGAGCACCCTGCTGCCTTGTCCCTGGCCCTCACCTCCCACATCCATTCACCTCAACTGGGACCGCCCCCTGCCTGGAGACCTCCCAGGGTTCACATCATCATCTCTCACCTGGAGTTGCTTACCAGCTTTCTAACTGGGCCTCCTTCTGTCCCGCCTCACCTCCTGACACTCATTCTCCAACTGCCAAGAGTCTGTCCCCACCCATTGTTCCTGCACGGACTTCCTGGGCTCACTGGCTGGCATCCTTGAGGCCCCCAGAGCTCTGCACGGCTGGCTTCCGTCTGCCCCTCTTCTTCGTATCTATCTAAGGACCTCAGGGGCTCTCCTTTCACTGTGTTAACTTGTGCTAGATTTCATTCCTTTCTGGATGTGGGTTCGAGAACAGCAATAGCGATGAACTCAACGTTAAAGCCCATGCACTGCTTTAAATAGCAGCTTGCAACATAGTAGGTTCTCCAGAGAAGTTTGTTGAACTTGGAGCTTTTGTTCCGAGGAAAACCATGAATTCCTGCTCCCGGGGCCGTGCACATGTTCCCAAAGAAAAAAGAGGACCAGGCTTCTCTTGGACGGATATCAAAGCCCCTTTGCCCTCCCTCAGCCCCGCTTCCTGACGCGTTAGTGTGTCCCCAGGTCAGAGGAACTGAGAGATGTCCTCCTTCCTCCTACTCACTTGAAGCCCGTCTTTTCCTTAAGATTCTGAACAGAATTCCAGTAAAAAGGAGGATGATGCAAACAGCGATCCCACTGATGACTCCAATGACCAGGGTGCCAGACACTGGGGCCTCTAAAAAGGCAAAAGCAAGAGAAAGCTGGCACACAGGCCCCAGCCCAGCTCAGCCCCTCCCCTCACTGCCAGGCTGAGCCGCCTTCTTCCCCCCAACAACGGACTTGCCCCACCCCCCTCGCCTGTACCCCAGGCGGCAGTGAGGGGCTGATCCAGGCCGGGGTGCTCCACTTGGCAGGTGTATCTCTGCTCTTCCCCGGGGGCCACGGCCAACGCCGCCCAGCCCTGGTAGGTCCCATCCCCGTTGGGCAGCACATCCTTCGGCTCAACGTCCGTGGCATCCAGTGGCTGCCCGTCCTTCAGCCACTTCATGGTGATGTTCTGGGGGTAGAAGTTAAGGGCCTGACACCGCAGGGTGCTCACAGCCGAGGCCACACGCTGAGTCACCTTCACCAGAGGGGGCACTGCACAGGAAGGAGGAAGGATCTGGAGAGGGGAGTTTTCTACCCTTACCAGGAAGACTGGAACTTTCACTTCCCTTCCTCCATGGGTTGGAGGAGGAAGCGAACCCTGTCCCTACACAGCTGCGGGACAGTCATTGTTTTGTGTCCTAAATCATGTTGCAGGAATGTCAGCTGTGATGGGGAGCTGCACGGTGGACAGTCAAGCCCATTCTCCTGCCCATGTATAAACACACTTAACCTGCAGCGTGCGGCTTCTGCCCTTAGTCAATAGAGTAAGTGGAATCGGATAAAATTTCACAGTGTGCAGATGTGATCGAATGAGCTCTACTGGCAAATTCTCCCTGGCTCAACCCAGTAAGGGTTCTTGTAAGAAGGGCCCTCCAAGATGGGCAGTCCTCAGGGACTCTCTGTTGTCGTCTGTTCTGTAAGAGTAACCTTTAACCTCCCACCGATTCTGCTACTCTGGCTGGTCGCCTCCTTTGGTAATTTCCTAGCTGGGCTTTCATGCAGTAATTGACAGCTATGAAATTCCTAAAAGGTGTAAATATACACAGGTTTCTCGGGAAAATCAAGAGATCACAGATACGTCTTCTTCGGCCATGTGTAGGGAGAAAAAACCCTAAAACCCTGACCCTCAGCGGTGTCCTACATCTCAGTTCTAAGGCGGAGCCCTCAGACCTCAGACCTCTTGGCCCCGAGAGTCATGTGACCCTGGCCACCTGGGAAAGCCCAGCCCCAGACCTCGCCCTGCGTTCCCCTCTGTGGCATCCCGACAGTCCAGGGGCAGCCAGGCATCCCCACCATACCTCGCCGGTCCAGGACCCCTCTCCCCAGCTCCAGCAAGCGTTGCAGCTGCTCAGGGCAGTCCCTCTCCAGGAAGGCCCTGTTCTGTTTGGCCCGGATCTTGTTCACTTCCCATTCCAACTTGGTGGCCTGGGCCATGGGCTCTGCTGCTCTCCAGTCCAGCGTCTCGGGGCAGAATTCCAGATGGTTCTGCCCGTCGTACCCATACTTCCAGAACCCCCTGGTGCTGTTGTCCTCTTGTACCTCACAGCCCAGGATCACTTGCAGGGTGTGGGACTCTGACAGCACCCCGAGCTTCGTTACTGAAACCAAAGGAGAAAGTCCTTGTCTCGTCATCCCCAGGGAGCCTAGGACCTCGGACTCCTTCCCTCCTCCCGCGGGACCTCAGACTCCCTGCTCGCTCCCCCCAGATGCATCTTCGAGGTAGAGAAGCGCTCTGCCCCCCTGGGAAAGGCGAGCGCCCTCTCCATGTACCCTTGCTGTGGTTGTGATTGTCTATGATGGTCCAGAAGTCCACAATGAACATGTGATCCCAGCCTTTCAGGCTCTGACTCAGCTGCAGCCACAGCTGGCTGGTGGCCCCACCCTGGACCCACTGGGTGCGGGGCTCTGCACGGCGACTCTCGTGACTGTAGGACACGAACAGCTGGTCGTCCACGTAGCCCAAGGCCTCAAACAGGGGCAGCCCAAGATCCGGCACTGAGGCGCCCATGAAGAGGTAGCGCAGAGAATGGGATCCTGGGGAGAAGGCAAGAGGACATCTCTGTGGACTGCGAAAGGGGCTGGGAGGCAGCAGGGCCGCACCTCTTCTCCGTCTGGGCCCACCCACCACACGTGAGCTGCAGGGCCTCTCCGCCCCCCACCACAGCCTGGGTGCTCTCCCCTCCCCGGGGGGGCTGCCACCACCCTCTTGGAGCTCCCAGCCTCTGCCCCATTCCAACATTTAGGGCAATCTCCCCTGCAGCCCACCAACTCTCTAAGATCCCAAAGGGTCTCTAGCTGGGGCAGCCGAGCTCAGGGCGCTCACAGGGAATTAGATCCACGTGTAGAGGAATTCACTGCTGGGTTGTTGTTTGTTTGTTTATTTGTTTTTTCATAATTCCCATCTAAACTCTTTCCTGTGTAAGTGTTTGCTGTGAACTGCTGGCAGATCTGCTATGCATCACTAGGATACTTTCAGAGCAAACATGGAAGAAGACCCAGGAAGGGCAAGAGAGAGTTTCCCTTCCTTCCGCTGTGGAAAGAGGGACTCAGGGATGAACGCCTAATACCTAGAACAGCGCCTGGCATGTACTCGGGGCTCGGTACATCCTTGTTAGATGAATCGATGATAACTCCTTGCTGTTTATCTCTGGCCCTGAACTCCAGATTCTTACACCCAACTGCCAACAGGACACCACTGGTTGGATAACTAATTGGAAAAATCCAACTTCAGTCTAACTCTTGATTTCCCCCAAGCCGCTCGCTCTTCTGCCTTCACCATCTCAGAAATGGCATCACCCATCACCCCACGGCTCAGGCCACTGACACATCTAAAATAATTTTAAATCACAGAGTCGCCTTTGACTTTTCTCTTTCTCTCACACAGTGCCTAGATCCTTCGGCAACCTCCTTCTAAAGACATCCAGAAAGCACCTGCTGCTCACGGCCTCCTCGGCTAGCCCCAGGCCCGGCTGCCATCTCCCCCTGCAACCCAGCAACAGCTCTCTTGCTGCTCCCCAGCTCTAACTGTGACTTCCTTCACCCCTGCCTCCCACAGAGCGGCCAGACCTATAGCTAATGGTGTCCTTCCTTGGCTAGAACCCACACGGCAGCTGTGAGGTCCGAGGAGACCTTGCCTGTGGCGGGGGGCTGAGCCCCCGGCGAGTCTCCACCTCTGGTCGCTGCTTCTCCTGCACCCCAGCCACTCCTAATTGGGACACTGTGACTCCCTCATCAATGTCTGGAGACACTTCTGACGGTCAGAACTGGGGAGTTGCTACTAACATCCAGTGAGTAAAGGACATCCTACAATGCACAGAACAGTCCCCACAACAGAAAGTGTCAGTTTCCCTAAGGTTGCAGTCTCTGCTTCAACTCAACCTGTGGGGTCCACTCAGCTCAACTGGGAAGCGGTGCTTCCAAAAGGCTCATCCCCACTTCCTTCAGCCTGAGAGGAGCCAGCCCCAGCCTCCCCTCCTCACCCATCTTCACAGCTCCTGCTGCTACCTGGGGCTCTGTGTCCTTTTGTTTGTTAGTTTATTGTCATCTTGCCTCTAAAATGCAAAATACCAGAGGGCAAGGGCTTGGATCCCTGCTATCTCCCTGGGTCTAGAACAGAGCAATTCACGCTCCATTACTCCCTTTATAAGTGTGAACAACGAATATTTCTGTTCCACATCAAATTTAGTATTCAGTCTTTACTGCGGTGTGAAATTTAAGAATCACAGCTGTGGAGATGCAGGTGCTGCTTCAAGAGCCCGGGGTGACGTGGAACAAAATTACCCAGGAGCAGGTCATGCCTCATTCCGATGTCTGTAAAACGTGGGCACACATCCGACCTGCCCTCCAAGCGTTGTTCTGAGACTGTGTAAACATGTGTGTGGAAAGTCCCCTTCAGCTGAGATTAGAAACAGTGATAGCTCTTCATTTTCCATCAGAGAACCAGATCGCCTAAGTTCTTTCTAACCTGGGGAAGGAACTGAGCCTGAGGAATTTTACGCCAGTAAAATCACCCTCCGACTGGCTACTACTTCCCAAATGCTTAGTGGAGTCAAACCTGATCACAGAGAGGAAGGTGATTTAAAACCGAGTTCAATGTCAGTTATCCTCACGTTGGCATCCTTTAGTAAAGGCCTGTCAGTTACACATACTACGATGAACTTTGCAAATCAATCCCCACCCCCCGCCCGCGGCTGAAAATGCGAACTGTTGCGTTCAGTTCAAAAGTCCAGAAATCACAGATACGTTATTTTTTCCAGGCAAAGGAATAACCGCCAAGAGTCAGTAAGGTTCGGGTCAGATCTGTCTCGGGGGCCTCTCCCCACCCGGAGTTGGAAAGGGTGTGTGTGGGGGGGAGGGGGGAAGCCCAGCCCCCGCTCGATCACCGGCCCCCACGCGTCTGCGAGGCTGGACGCTGTGTGTGGGGGGGTCGCTCAGCGGAGGCCTGCTGCCCTCTGCCAGCCCTGAGTGTCAACACCCCGGCCGGGCCCACGTCGTCTCTGGGGAGAACTTCCTGTTTGGGGACCACCGGGGAAAAACACGACATGGTCCAGAGCAGAGAGACAGCACCCAGCTCGGACTTCGAGGACCCGGGGATCCCAGCTCAGCCTGGATGAGAAACGCGCAGATTTGGAGTTAAAAGTAGTTAAAAGCGTCGCAGTCGGCGGAGGGGGCGGGAGGCTCCGAGCGCCACCCTGGGGAACTGCGACGGAGGTGGGGGCCGCACAGGTCCCGGGCGAGGGGACCCGCAAACCCTCCCGCACCCGGCGGTGGAGCCCCTCCCGGGAGAGTCGGGGGCAGGCCGCGCTCGGGGCCGAGCCGTGTCCCCCACTCTTGGCGACCCCCGGCGCTCAGCAAAGCTGGTTTCGATCTCGTCCCCCCGCGGCCCGGACTCACGCGGCGGCAGCCCCGGCTCGGCCACGGTCTGCAGCAGGAGCAGCAGGAGCAGCGCGCGCCGCGCTCCCGAGCCCATCTCGGCGCGGTGACCTCGCGTCTCCCCGGCTCCGCGCGTCCCGGAGCTTCACCCGCCTCCGAGCGGCGGCGACGCGGGCATGGCCAACAAGTCACCCTGGAGTCGCTGCCCGGGCTGCGGGGATACCAGACAAAACTTCCTGGCCAGTGCGATCCTTTTCCGGGGCCGCGGCTGAGAAGAAACTCCTGAACTTGAACTCTCCTGCGGCCCAGAGCACTGGCTTGTGAAACACTGTGACCCAGCTGTCCCTGGGGGTTTTCAGGCCTACGGGGACGTTGCTGATGGGGGAGAGTATGCTTACCAGTGTTCCGACCGAAATAGCCTAATTTCCTATATCTGATTCTTAAATAGGAATTTAAAAGTTCAGCGATACATTTTCAGCATTTTTATCTTGAGTTCAGCTTGCCAATCCTGTTTATTCAACTTAAAAATACGGTTTTTGTGTAAAATTTCCATTTTATTCCCACATTAGAAACAATGAACAATCGTAAGTTTAATAAATTAGAACCTACTGGAACATCTTTCACAATTTAAGTTAGATTTCACAAACTTTACAACACATTGAGATCACCTAGAAAATCATTAAACTTATTGATGCCCTGTTTTTACTCCAGCTACTGATTTAATTGGTGTGCGTGCGGTGTTACCTGAGGATTGGAATTTTAACCCCTCCCCCACCCCCACCCCACACCCAAAGTTTGGGAACTACTGCTTTAGATATTTCAAAACATATTACCAAATTTAATACATCTGATTTTCCTAAAACCCTTTAAATACCTAATAAATCCAATGAGCAATACCTTTTTAAGCATGTATGCCAATTTTGGCCACCTAAGAAAAATAAATCAGACTTGGAAACTGGGGCCTAACTGCAGGGGGATATGAAATGCAACCAGAAAAATGTTGAATACAGTGGATGAATCCATTGGGGTTGATTGTAATATTCTTTTTTCTTGGTAACAGCTTGATTATTGAGATTTAATTCACATACCGTACAATTCATCCACTTAAGGTGTAAAATTCAGTGAATTTTCACATTTTTACACAGGCATGTGACTATTTACACAGTTCTAGAACATTTTTCATTCTCCCCACAAAGAAACCTGTGCCTTTTAGACAGCACTAGGCAATGCCTCCCACCCCACCGCAGGCTGTCACTAATCTACTTTCTGTCTCGATAGATTTACCTCTTCTGAACATTTTAGACACATGGAATCCTAGACTATGTGATTCTTCATGACTGGCTTCTTTCATTTAGCGTAATGTTTTCACATTTCTTTTTCATGGATGAATAATATTCCACCACACCCCATTTTATTTCTCCCTTCGTCAATTGATGGAAACTAGGTTATTTCAACTTTGTGTCTATTAAGAAGAATGCTACTCTGAACACGTGTGTACCCATTTTTGTGTGGACTTACATTTTCTTTTCTTTTGGGTACGGACCTAAGGGTGGAATTGCTATGATGACTCTATGTTTAAATAACCTTTTGAGGAACCGCCAGACCGTCTTCCAAAGTGGATATACCATCTCGTCAGCAATGAGTGACAGTCCCGATTTCTCTATACCTTTGCCAACACTTCTTATGGTTCATCTTTATAATGCTAGCCATCCCAGTCAGAAGGAATGCCTCATTGCGCTTTGGGTTAGCCTTTCCCTGATGACTGGTGATACTGAACATCTTTTTTTTCACCTGAATATTGGCCATCTAGGAACCTTTTTTGGAGAAATGTCTATTCAGATCCTTTGCCATTTTAAAATCTGGGTTATTTGCTTTTTCTCATTGAGTCATAAATGTCCTTTATGTATTCTAGATGTAAGGCCAGTACCAGATATACGATTTGGGAATTCCAATTCAGTGTGTGATCTTTTTACTGTCTTGATGGTGTGCCTCCCGGCACAGACACTGCTAACGTTGGTGAAGTGCAACTTACCTATTTTTTCTTTTGTTACTTGTACTTTGGGTGTCATAACTGAGAGATCATTGCCAAATCCAAGGTCACAAAGCTTTATACCTACGGTTTCTTCTAAGTATTTGTAGTTTTAGTTTTTACATTTATGTCTTTGATTCATTTTGAGTTAATTTTTAGATATGGTATGAGGTTGAGGTCCAACTTCATTCTTTTTCATGTGTGTAAAAGTAAAATCTCAGCTCTTCCGCATTGTATTTTCTATCCTGTGTGTCTCCTCTTCTACTCACACAAAACACTTGACTTCTGACTCGTCTAGTTAGCTCTCACTGCACGGAGGGACACTGGAGACAATAAATGCTGTCTGGTCTGGGGCGCCAGCTGCCGGCCATGCAGAGATTGACAGCAAGCCCCACTGTGCTGCTTCTTAGCTTGCCTACCTGATTAGAATAGCTTTTTCCAAAGAACTCCAATGGTGCCATGACTGGAATGCTTGCTAACATGGGCTTCTGAGCAGTGGTGTTCATGGAGTCTGATGAAAGCTCTGTTTGAGGTTCCTGGCTTCTTTTCACCCCTCCCCAGAATGTAAGATTATGTCCTTTGTCCCAACCATCTGCTTCCAGGGATATGCAAGACCCACCCAAGTCTACCAACAGCCTAGCTCCTTCCTCATGTGCTAATGGTGGCCGCCTTCAGGCCTCAGTGTTCAGTATGGCAGGCGTAGGTGGCTGCTTCTCCCCAAGGGACATTCACCCAGCACTGACTGTTTCCATTCTTGCTGCACTGCTACCCTCTATGGTCTGAGTGCAGGCCTCCCTGACCCCTTAGGGAGAACGGGTATCAGCGTGATGGCAGAGGAAGAGACATAGGCTGGGCACTGCACCACTGCTTCCTGCCGAGCGGTCTTATGGTGGGTCACATATATTGAAGGCAGTTCTGTGGAGCAGGAGTAGGAGGTAGATGGACCCTGGGCCTTCCCTTCTGAAGTATTAGCTTGCTCCACAAGACCAGTAACCACCTGTAGGCTGGCCTCAGCCCCTCTAGTCTCCGGAAACCCTTGTGGATGGGCAGGTGTTAGGGGTTGAAATGTGTCCCCCACTAAAATGGTTGAAGTCCCAACTCCCAGTACCTGTACGTAACTTCATTTGAACATCAAGTTTTTGCAAATGATCAAACTAAGAAAAAGCCATTAGGATGGGACCTAATCTGATAGAACTGATTTTGACCCAGAGAAGTTCATGGAGGGGGGATGTGAAGACATGAGGGTACCTGAGAGCAGCCTAGACACAAGGAGAGGGACCTGGAACAGATTTTTTCTCACCTTGCTCAGAAGGAATCAACCCTGCCAACCCATTTTCAGAATTAACCCCCAGGATTAACCCCAGAACAGTGATTTCAAAGTGTCCAAGTCCTGATTATTACCCGAGGAGAGAAAAGGAAAGGGAAATGCAATTTGCAGAATGCCAGGCCTGTACGAAGGATCACTCTGGGCTGTCTATACAGGAGAAACTTACTCTCAACATCTTCTTAAAAATATATTGTTCTGGGGCACCTGGGTGGCTCATTTGGTTAAGCGTCCAACTCTTGATTTTGGCTCAGGTCTTGCTCTCAGGGTCATGAGATGGAGCCCCGCGTCTGGCTCCGTCTGCAGCGCAGAGTCTGCTTGTCCCTCGCCCTTCCTCCTGCCCCTCCCCTCGCTCCCTCTCTCAAATAATTTAGGTATTAGTTTAGGTATTCAGACCATTTACATTTAACCATTACATGTAACGGGTAAGTGAGTAAAATCTTTAATAGATATATAACCTCTATTTGCAAATAGGGACTTAGGGCCTTGCCCAAGTTCACTGAGGTGAACAACTCTGTGAACTCACAGAAATGAGTAACTTCTTGCCTTAATGACTTCAGTAGAATCAGAGAGGTACCAAGCCAGGTTCAACAGAAACTGTGTTTCATTTCCCCTGGTTCCTGACCGTTTCTTCGTCTTCCTCTGAAACGGGCGGTCTAAACCCACGATCAATTCCTAGGAATGCCAGGATTTTAAAGGAAAGCTTGTTTTCCTATCTTCGTCTATACATTCACACAAGGAAATGTGTCTTGGGCCCGTTTAGGCACCTTCCATCTGCTTGCTCCCCTGACTTCTCTCCCTCCTCCTGCCCCTTCGTGCTCCGTCCACAGGAATGGTCACGTTCTAGGCCAAGAATGTTTGTTCCTCTCTCTCCTCTTTCCTTTGAACTCCTGCTACACAGTGAGCACAGTGACCTTGCTCTACATCGTTCAGCACTGTTGCCTAGTGGAAGTACTTGATAACTATGTTTAGATTGAGTAAATAAATGAGCCAGTGAATGAATGTCCACAGCAGACCGTGAAGCCAACTGAAACCCACTTGGGAACTTGGGAAGACTTCCTGGCTGTCTCTGTTCACATCCCAGTGCTTGTGAACACCAGAAGACATTGCATGGACTTACACGTATATGCTAATATACTACCTCTCTCATTAGATTCGTCACTGACCGAGACCCTCTCTTTGCTTCCTGATAATCCTGACGCTTTGCAGAGTAACCAGCACAGATCTACACAGTTGCTTCCGCCGTAACCCAGTACATACATTCCTGAAAAACCTCATAGTCTTAAAAAAAATACACTCACATTCAACAGGGGTCATGGAAAACAAGGACGGGGCAGACAACTGACAACTCTTGAACAGGTATATGAAAGGAAGGAGTAGCTGCTTCCCCCCACACGCTCGGAGTGGATCTTTCATTAACTTCACACGGATGTCCTATTAATTGATGGATGATCCTTAGATAGACACTTTGATGCATTTCTTTTTTTGAAAGATTTTATTTATTTATTTGAAAGAGAGAGAGAGCATGTGAGCACGTGTGAGAAAAAGGAAGAGGGGTGTGCCTGGATGACTCAGTGGGTTAAAGCATCTGCCTTCAGCTCGGGTTATGATCTCATGGTCCTGAGATCAAGCCCTGCGTTGGGCTCCTTG